TCTCTCTCTCTCTCTCTCTCTCTCTCTCTCTCTCTCTCTCTCTCTCTCTCTCTCTCTCTCTCTCTCTCTCTCTCTCTCTCTCTCTCTCTCTCTCTCTCTCTCTCACACACACACACACACACCAGCCTCTCTCAGTCCGAAGCAGAAGTGATTAGCCTCGGTCCCGAGGGACTGCTGTTTAGCTAACCTGCTGACGGGACTGTGTGTGACTGCTGTATTATCTCAGCTATCTGCTCACTGATGCTGCTACCACTCACTAAACATTTCTTCCTCACTTTTAATACATATGTAGCCTATTTACAATCCTAATTGTTAAAATAATCTAAATCTTACATCGTATGGCTTGTTAGGGAGAGATATGCTTTTACTTTTCTTGTTTATTTGAACTATTTTATGACAGAACCCAATTATTTATTATTAATTGGAACTCTGTGGGAAATTAACTAACTAACTAAAGGTATTTTTTTCTTTTCATTATTATACTATACATAAATTAGTTCACCCAAAAATAAAAATTCTATCATCACTTACCCTCACATCACTATATATATATATATATATATATATAATGAATACACACACACACATACAAAACAATAAAATATTTACATACAATAATTTTGTGCATTTTAAAAGTAAAAAAATTAATAAATGATGGTGGCATGGAAAACATTTTAATGTGATCTTTATAATGAAGAACTGAAATCTGAATTTTAATTTTAATAAAAATCACAGGAACGTTATAGTGCCCGAAGTTAAAGAAACCCATGATAAAATAAAATAAAAAACAACACTATTATATTTACATTTATTCATTTTTTTTAATTCATTTCTTTTTTTTCTTTTTTATTTGTTTGTTTGTTTGTTTATTTAATGTTACAATATAAGTGCTCCATCCCTTGGATAGAAAATGCTACAAAACAAAATTTAAAGACTGGCTATAAAAACAATTCAAAAAAAACAAGCCTGTTTTTTTCTGTAAGGAATAATTTGCACAGTTTGTCCAGCAGGTGTTGCTGCTGGTGTCGGTGTGATGAAGGATAGTAAACACACACACACACACACACACACACACACAAGCTGTTGTTCGGTCCTCGCGTAGCCTCTTTCTGTCATAACGCATTCAAATAACCGAGCCTTCACACGGAAGCGTCAGATCTGCGTGGCCTCGATTAAGACCTGCAGATGAACTTTACGTTTCTTCTTAAGGAGACAGAATGAAGGCAGAGTTGCTGCGCCATCTGCGTGTGTCTGTGTGTCAGGACAGCTTTCTCCGCCCACCAGGATGACCACCTGCCCACCCGAGCATCATCACCTGTCAGCTATATGGGTCACAGCTGTGCATATGCATGCGTGCGAGCCGTTGCTTTTCCAACTCTGAAAGGGATAGTTCACCCAAAAATGAAAATTCTGTCGTTAATTACTCACACTCATGTCGTTCTAAACCTGTAAGACCTCCGTTCATCTTCGAAACACAAATTAAGATATTTTTGATGAATTCTGAGAGCTCTCTGACCCTCCTGTAGACAACAATGTAATTACCACGATCAAGGTCCAGAAACGTTGCGAAATCGTAACGAGATCGGTAAAATAATCCATGTGACATCAGGGGATCAACCTTCATTTTAGAGGCTAGGAGAATACGTTTTGTACGCAACGAAAACAAGAATAACGACTTTATTCAACAATTCGTCTCCTCCGCATCACCCTGGTGCCATTTTGGAGAATATCCACTGAATGTAAACAGCATATGCTATTCTGTGTCAGCTGCGTCACGCGGATACTTTGTTTTCGTTCAGAACAAAGCGTAAACAATGTAGAAATAATATTCTGTTAATATTACATTGATTTAATATTAGATTAATATGCATGTGTGTGTATATATAAAGAGAGAGTTATGTTAAAGGGGTCATATGATGCTTTTTTAAAGATAATTATTTTGTGTATTTGGTGTAACAGAATATGTTGACATGCTTTAATGTTCAAAAAACACATTATTTTTCAAATACTGTACATTATTGTAGGTCCTCTATGCCCCGCTTGCAACTTCAGGGATCTTATCTATGCACAATCAGCTTGTAACACTCCAAAGAGAAAGGAAAACTTGAAATCGCATCATATGACCCCTTTAATGTGTGTGTAGAGATTAATACATTTAATTTAATTTGTATTATATTTTATTCTAATGTAGGCCTATATTTAGTATTTTTTTCTTTTCTTGCTTTTGCTCTTTGTTTTTCTATTGTAGTATGTATTAATTACATAATAACTTCTATACTGTTTTATATGACATTTAAATTATATTAATAGAATATTAAAACAACTCTCTGTGTGTGTGTGTGTGTGTGTGTGTGTGTGTGTGTGTTTAAATGTACATTTTTATACATTTTATAACTTTTTATAAATTGTATACATCTATCTATCTATCTATCTATCTATATTCTTTTTCCTGCCTTTACTTTTTGTTTTTCTGATGTAGTAATAGTTTATATTAATAATTTTCATATAATAACTATAAATTAGCCTACTGTTTTACCTATAGAAAACATTTTTACATAGCCTGCAATGTTCTGTTAAAGTTTGAATGCAAAAAAATAAGTTAAGTAACTTGGTTATGAAAAACTTGATCTTGACCCTTAAGAAACTTTAATTAATGCTGTCACGTAACAAATCTGTTTCAAAGATCAAATTACATGAATTGCTCATTACAACATTGAAATAAAAATGTAAAGCTTGTACAAATAGCCTACTAGAAATCATGAATATATATAATTGGGAATCATGTAAAAAAAATTAAATACAAAAAAAAACCGTGCACATTTAATTTATCTTTTATACCATTTATGTAGTTAATGTTCGCTTGGCTGAGAACTTAGATAAGGTTTGTCCAAGCAGTTGCTATATTTGTCCCTAAACTTTTGAAAAAAGTCTCAAAAGGGGCGGGGAAGTCGCTAAATCTAGCTACCAAGTAGCTAAATTGGCAACACTGCAGTTGCCAAGGAGAACCCTGGAGCGTGCCTCCCAGCGCCTGACCTCAGATCAGTCCTGATGCACTGGGTGCAATAAGCTACAATGTGGAAGCGAAAACGGAACTAATCCGGAGTCAGCTATTAAAGAGACGTCTCTACCCTAGAGCAGACGTGCTCTGGCTTGACCCACATTGTCACCCGGATGCTGGCTTTGCTCTCGGCCGCTCCCCATCAAGGGCACCAACAGTTTTCACACTTTACTGCATAACCTGCCTGCACTTTTTAACATAAGAGAACACGATTCTCATGTAGACAAAACAATGAATATAAAAATGATCTGGACCAATATCTTTATAGTAGCCTATATAACTTATTTTCACGCATCTTTAAAATCTACAATGTCATGTTTTACCATAGACATTGTGGTAATTTAGGACAATCTAACATACAGTTTGAAATAACTTTAATGACTTTAAAATAACTAACGTTAGGAGATATATTTAATGTAACACACATAGCATGAAATAGACTACTGTTCAAAGGTTTGGGGTCAGTAAGGTTTGTTTTTGTATGAAATTAATATTTTTACTTAGCTATGGTGAATTAAATTGATCAAAAGTGACAGTCAATACATTTATAATGTTAGAAAAAAAATCAAATGCCATTCTTTTGAACTTTCTATTCATCAAAGTATTCAGAAAACCATGTATCACGGTTGACACAAATATATTAAGCAGCACAACTGTTTTCAACATCGATAATAATATGAAATGTTTCTTGAGTATCAAATCAGCATATTAGAATGATTTCTGCAGGATCATGTGACACTGAAGACTTGAGTATCACAGGAAATAATTACATTTGAAAAGACTTTAAATTGAAAACAGTTGTTTTAATTTGAAATATTTCTCAATATTACTGTTTTTAATGTATTTTTGACCAAATAAATGCAGCCTTGGTGGGCATAAGTGAAGTTCAAATTCGTTAAAAATGTATTTATTCATTACACCGGACAGATGTAACGTGCGCTCTTTATTCATCTCACTCACTTCTTTCTTTGCAATAATATTATGCATTTTCATATTCATCTCCCATCACATTATTCAAAACAGAAACCAATATCCCAGTTAATGAAGTTATAACTTGTGAAGCTGAAGATGGAGGAAGCTGCTTGGTGAGTCAGTTTTTCACCCACAGTTGTTTTTAGTTTGAAAGTGAATCATTGTAAAAATGAATAGCTTTTTTGGTTAGTAATGATAGTGCTAAATGATATCCAGTATAATACGAGCTAGAAGAAGCAAGTCAATGAAGGGGGACTTAAAGGAACACTCCACTATTTTTGAAAATAGGCTCATTTTCCAACTCCCCTAGAGTTAAAACAGTTGAGTTTTACCGTTAATCGAATCCATTCAGCCGATCTCCGGGTTTGGCGGTAGCACTTTTAGCTGTAGCTTAGCATAGATAATTGAATCTGATTAGACCGTTAGCATCTCGCTCAAAAATGACCAAAGAGTTTCTATATTTTTCCTATTTAAAACTTGACTCTTCTGTAGTTACATCGTGTACTAAGACTGACGGAAAATGAAAAGTTGCGATTTTCTAGGCCGATATGGCTAGGAACTATACTCTCATTCCGGCGTAGTAATCAAGGAACTTTGCTGCCATACCATGGGTGCAGCAGGCGCAATGATATTACGCAGCACCTGAAAATAGGCTTCCTGGAAGTTACCTAGCTGGGGACTATTTTCAGGCGCTGCGTAAAAATAGTAATTGTGAACATAATATTTTCAAAAATAGTGGAGTGTTCCTTTAACCCTTACGATGGTGCTTATGGGATACATCAGACAAAAAAAGGTTGGGAAACACTATTTTAATATTCCATACTTCACTTGATAGTATCATGTGTTGTGTCCTTGATCCAGATGGTTATTCCCGAGATGTCATCATCACCCACCTTCCCCCAGAACAAACATAAGCTCCACCTGAGTCATCCATCTATTGACGTCTGCTGGTGTACGGCATAGAGGACAGCTGTAGGATAACTTCATGTTGGTTCTGTATTTCCCTCTCAGCATGGGTGCAAATGTTTTTTTAAAAAGTGTCCTCTGTGGTTTTGTTCGTGTTGATCGGTCTTTCTGTCAGTCTGTTCTGACTCTCTAATAGTCCGTCTGTCTGTTTCACAGCCTGTCATGTCAGAGTGGATGAGGAGTCGACTTCACACTGTTACTCAAGGTGACTTTCCTGTTTTTTTGTTCCTCAGGTTTTTTATGTGGTATAATCATGAAACCGATGGCTAAATAAAGAGTCTGCTATTCACTGGAAAACTCTCTCTTCTTAGTTCCGTTATGATTATGAGAGGATTCTGAATATAAAATCATCGACTCATCAAAACATACAATAATAGAGGATCCACAAATATAGATCCGTCATAAGAAATTGCCTACGAGGATGGTAATTTCATAGAAACGGAATATGTTGTGGCCTTTTCCTCAGTTACAAATCCTAAGTATTTTGAATTTAAGATGCAGGATGTGGTTTTCCTGCGGTTACAGAGCAATTAGTCACATGGAATTCGCAGCTCAAGGGCCCATTAGCAATAATGGCAGTATGCAGGTCGCGTACTTGAACCAGCCGAGATCTTGCAATTAAGATGAATTTGATTAGTTATTTGTATTGATATTATTGGCATGGCCTTGGTTTTAGAAACAGAACATTTGTGACAGAGATGGAGAAAGTTATTAAAGACTATGGAACCAAACATTTTATATTTCTTCAGAAATACTCAAACTGATGTATTGTGAGACCAGGGATATTTATTAAGAAAGGTATGGGGTTGATTTTGATGTCATGTTTACGTTAAAACAAGTTAAATTCAGTTGATACAGTACTTGATCTTTATTTCAATTTTTTTTAAGTAAAATGGTTATCACTCCAGTTAAATCAGTAATATTGTTAAATATTATTAGAGTTTAAAATACCTGTTTTCTATTTGATCTATTTTGAAATGTAATTTATTCCTGTGATGTCACATTTTAATTTTTAGCATCATTACTCCATGCAGTCTTCAGTGTTTCATGATCCTTCAGAAATTCTAATATACTGATTTGGTGCTCACATTCTTACATTTTTTTTTCTGCTTTCTATAGAAACTGTGACACATTTTAAAGAATTCTTTAACATTTAAAAACAATTATATATAAAATCTTTTTTATAAATACCTTTAAAGAAAAATCAGACACCAAATATTTGAACAGTAGTGTACTATGTGCACATACTCTTTCTGAAAAATTTAAAACTCAAACATACCTTCTTAGTCCAGATTTTTTAATAAAAAACCATACAGCAAACATTACTGTGAAATCTTGCTTCTGAAATCTGTCTTTTCCATGTCATAGGGATGAATACATGAAGACATTGACCCGGCAACTACTTGGTATTCAGAAACTTGGCTCACCCACTCATAAATTAATAAGGATGAATGATTAAATAGATTCATAATATTAATGCAAAACACCCAAAGAAGAGCTGTTATTCAGGTGGGTATATAACTGTAAGTGTGAGATGTTCACTAAATGTTTGTGTCAACATAGATGCCTTTTAAAAAATCAACATGAAAATCAAAATTGACACTGTTTGCTTTCTTAAATAGAGATGTTCCTGATCTTATTATGATTATCAGTTTTGCGCTGAAAATAAAATGAATGAAGAAAAATAAAATGTTTGGTCCAGACAGTTCCTAATGAACATAATAAAGGCCCATCCAGGTCACACTACAATTCTGCCATTTGAAGATGCGTCACGTTACAGAATTAAATCTGAATGTCATTTCAGGTTCAGGTTTAAAAGTACAGTAATGAAAAACAGCCTGTTTAATTCAAAGAGCCAGAAAGAGGGTGTAAAACATTCATGTAAAACTAAATGATGACTGTTGTTAACATAATAAATGGCTTCCAGGTGAAAAAATTATAAAAAAAATTATGCTGTGACCTGTTTAATATCTCCATTTAGCAGTAGAGCTCTGATTATTAACAGGATGCTTGCGAGGAGAGAAGATGTGCTGACTGGGTCTGATCTCCAGAGCACCTCAGAGTCTGATTAGACCGCATGATTACAACGTGGAAGAGCTGATGTGAGAGAACACATTGTGTGCTACAGCCATCACACAGTTATAGTGAGTGTTTAATTTGGTGAGAATGTACAGTGGGATCCAGAAGTTAGAGACTATGAGTGAAAACAGCTCGATTTTGCATTTTTGAATGATTAATACAAATTTTTGAATTGGATAATATATTGCTAACTTTTTTGTTCTAAAAGATTTTGAATACGTGTGCGGGCTGAATGACCAACCCATCAACAGGAATAAATTACATTTTGAAATATATTCAAATAGAAAACAGTGATTTCAAGTTGTAATAATATTTCACAATATTACAGTATTTTGATCAAATAAATGCAGCCTTGGTGAACATAAAGGACTTCTTTCAAAAACATTTACTGTAATAATCTTACCAACCCCAGCCTTTTGTTAGTACTTAAAAATATGCCATTTTAATGGAATAAACAGTTTATATTGACTCAAAATTACCAAAATAATCAGCCTGGCCAATTGATCTATGATTAATTTTCAGGTTTGACTATACAATGGAAAAATGCTGAAACTCGTTTGTGTAATATTGTGTATTTATTAGTGCTGTCAAATGATTAATTGCGATTAATCGCATCCCAAATAAAAGTTTTTGTTTACATAATATATGTCTATATTTATTATGTATATATAAATACAAACACATGCATGTGTATATTTAAGAAAAATACAGTATGTTATGTTAATATATTAAATATATTTAGATATAATATAAAATATAAGAATATGAATATATAAATGTATAAACATGTAAATATTTTCGAAATATACAGTATACTGTATGTGTGTGTATTTATATATACAGTACATAATACATATACACAGTACACATTCATATATAATGTAAACAAAAACTTAATTTGGATGCGATTAATCGCGATTAATCGTTTGACAGCACTAGTATTTATGCATGTATTATATATTATAATTTGTCATGGATGTGCAGAGAGATGGGGAATGTCGCTTTGGTTTCTCTGTGGGTGTACAGAAGAAATTTGAACTGTCATGTACCATCAGCACTGCAGCCCATCTCAGAGCAATGCAGCGACCCACGCAGCTCACACACACACACACACAACAGATAACACAACCGACTCTTTATTTGTGCTGCTGATGACCTCTCTCTGTCTGCATTCATGCAAAAAGCACAAACACGCACACAATGAGTAATGAGGACGCCTGAGCTGCGGTTAAGTGTACATCACTGTTTATGTCTTCATGCATTATTCACATGTACAGTCAAAACGTCTGTCAACTTGACTGTTCCACTCAATCTACTAACATGCTGTTAGCCTTTTACATTTCCATTCATTTGCACACACACATGTACTGTACATCCGCTTCAAAAGCTTCCTCAACTGACAGGAAGACGAGTCATATTGACTTTAAAGAGGCCTTGAAGTCAACATAAAATCAAAATGATTTATCATTAACATTCTTAATGCATATTCCTACTCTGTATTGAGACCGATTAATCAGTTATCGCAGAATAAAAAAAAAATGTATTTGATCCACCTCTATAATTTTATATTCAGTTGATGTCACAAAGGCTGCTCTGGTAGGAAAAATAATTTTAATGAATAGTTAAATATCTGTTTCTACGTTAATGTGGGTTTCTATTTGTTAATTTAGCCTTTCTAAAATCCATAACAGTAGTTACACATAGTAGTTTTTTGGGGGGAAAAAAACATATACTTTTATTAGGTAAGTATGCATTAATAAAAATGTGAAGGGACAGTAAAGACATTTATAATGTTAAAACCCATCATAAATGTTAAAAAATATATATATTTTTCAAATAAATCCTGAAAAACAGTATCACAATATAGCATTAAATCAGCATGATATAATGATTTCTGAAGGATCACGCGACACTGAAGACTGAAGTAATGGTTGCTGAAAATTCAGCTTTGCATCACAGAAATAATTTACATTTTTAATATATTAAAATTAAAATGGCTATTTTATTTGTAATAATATTACTATTTTACTGTATTTTTTACTGTATTTTACAGCCTTGGTAAGCATAAGAGACTTTTTTCAAAAAGTGTTCCAAAATCGATCCCAAACTTTTGAACGTTTGTCTACATATTGGTTATGGCAGTGAAATTGCATAACAATAGATTAGAAGTGTTAGTATTGGGTTACCATACGTCAAGGTGATACAACACGTGGTCTTGTTGAATATTACTTTGAATAACATGTTTAATGTAATACAGTATTAAAATGTTAACTTTGTCCATCTTTGTAACTTTGTTTTTCAAAATACCTTCTTTTGTGTTCCACAGAGGAAAGAAATGCATGTGGGTTTGGAGTAAATGATAACAGAATTTTCATTTTTGGCTAAAACTATCCCCCTAAGACTCGCATTACCAAATGAAGATGCACAGTCTGTGTCAGAGAAGCACTGTACACTCACATCTCATCACACCAACCAAAACGGTAGAAAAATAACAATACAGGAATCACAGCACAATATGCACTGTGACGTAGGGAAAGCTCTCCAGAGAGAACATAAAAAAATTGCATTCATTTTGTCTTTCTGCATCTATCCACTTATATCTGGTTTCATCTCTCCCCCTCTCCTCACAGCATGTCTTCCATCTCATACAATCTCTCCACACATTTCTTTCTGTCCACTTCTCTTTAATAATTCAGAGCAGCAGAGGTGTGCGTGGTAAAGCTACAGTGGCCAGTTCTTCATCTGAGAGGACAATCCCACCCGCTCACTCCTCCAGACACTGAGATGATCTCCAACACACAAAACATGTGGTCAGAATAGCACACTACTCACACTATTTCTACGATTTGCAATATGTATACTGTGGATCTATCTATCTATCTATCTATCTATAGCAGTTTGATCAAGTAATGAGTCAAGAAAGATATTAAAAATTGCAGTGCATATTCCAGTGCATTTGTCACATGGAAATGGAAGGTGAAGTCAAGTGCATTGCATTATGGGATACAGTATTGGACATAGGGGCTGAATTCGGAATAGCACACTTTCATACTACACTATTTTTTTCCATATGGTATGTCTACTATGCATATGTACATTCTTTGCTTACAGAAAATACAAAATATGCACTGTATGCAAATTATGTACTGTATGTAAAATTATGCCTTATACTTCTCAGATTTGTTTTCTTCCAAAAGACTATATTTATGAATAGAAAAACATTATATTATATTATATTATATTATATTATATTATATTATATTATATTATATTATATTATATTATATTATATTATATTATATTATATTATATTATATTGAATAGAAAAACATTATATTATATTATATTATATTATATTATATTATATTATATTAGGGTGAATTTAGGTAAATTGGAATACTTTTTTATTGAGATGACGGAAAAAATGTCCCAATAATCCTGAATTAACCCTATATTATTACACAGTATTATTCACAGTATGCATATTATTTACTATAGTTTTTTAATAATTAGTAAAACCTTGTTCCACAATAATTTTGTATGTAATGTAATGTCACGTGTCCTCGTCATTTTCTTGCATTTTTAAAATTCAGTTTCATGTAAAAAAAAAAAATTTTTTGTCCAATGAAATTATTAGTCAAAAAATAGAGTTTTATATATTATCGTATACATATATTTTTAAAACAATCTAGTGTAAAATGTCTTGTTTCTTGGCAGTCCGGTCAAGTAATGAGTCAATAAAGATATTCAAAGTTGCAGTGGACATTATTTACAGGGCATTTGTCAAACTTGAAATCAAAGGTCAGTTTGGATGCAAAGCATTATGGGATGCAGTATTTTGTGCTGCTTGCTTTATTGCATACTGCTCATTTTAGCAGATTTGTCATTCAGGTATTCAGTGCATAAACCTAACATAGTGTGCTGCATACTGCAGAAAGAGTAAGAATTTTACATTAGTTAAATTAAGTTCCCAACCAAGATGCAATGTGCTTGACTTGACCTTACATTTGAAGATTGATGAATGAATCAGAAGTGATAGCAATTTGTGATTTTTAACACTTTTCTTAACTCATCATTCATACATAGATATATTACAATATTTTAAGAGTTAATAAATACAGCATACAGTTTGGAATATTAGCATATTTCATACAATTCAATTAATAGTAGTAGTAGTCATCTGATCGGCGTTCATAATATCCCTATTCTTCCCTTCTCCCTCTCTCGTTCTTTCTGTTTGTAGCTAGTCTTATCTCTGCTGAGGATAAAGCGTAATCTTTCTCGCCCCCCTCCACCGCTCGCTTTATTTCACTTCTCTCCTCGTCTCTTGGCGGTTTGCTGTGTAAAGC